TTGCTATATATTTAAAGAAAGACACAAATTGTTTTAAATAAAAGAAAATTATAAGATTTATAAGAAAATTATATAATTATATTAAAGAAATTTATAAGAAATAAAGAAATTTGTAAGAAAAAGAATTATAAACAGCAAAACTTCTGAATTCTAGAATTAATAATTTTTGCAAATTTAGGATATTGAAGCAAAACAATTCTTATACGGAAATTAGAAACTATTTGTGAGCAATTAAAGTTTGATATGCGTCAATCTAATTATGTATGTGGAATAATCATCTAAAATTTGATAATCGATATATCATCGAAACTAATTCAAATGTTACAATATATTTAATTAATCAATCATTTGTATATATAATGTACAAATTGTATATCACAATAGCATGTCACACCTTATGAGGAATTATAAAGATTTTCAAAAGCAGCAAACCGATGAAGAATTGCGGTTGAATGCAAAATTAAAATTAGAGATTTCAGAAATAGCAAACTAGCGAATAATTGAAATTATAAGATTGTAAAAATGCGAGAACTTACATGCTTTTAAGAATGATAAATTAATCAAGAAATAAAGGGGGCAATGAAAACTGTAAGATTTTAAAATCAAACAATCAAATCAAATAACATATAATTAAAAGAAACAATTTAAAAAGTCGGCAAATCTTTCATACGTCTCGAAAAAAATCGTAGCGAACGTTGCGTAAACAAATATAAAACGCGTAGAAAAGAAACAAAATTCATTTATCCATTTTACGAAAATGCTACGAATTGGTTATTTTAACAATCTGGTAATTCTAAATGTTGTGCCAGAAAATTCGCGGATGAAAAGTTTCGTAATGAAGCTTTTTCTTTTTTTTTTGCTTCCGTATGAAAAGGCTGTTATAAGGGGAACAAAAGGGCGGTAAAATTAATGTAACAATGCATGTGTCTCGTAAAGCAAATGGTGCGAGTATGGCTATAAAAAAGAGGAATGCCACAACCGTGGAGGATCCTGTCGTCGCTTCTGAACGTATTTCGAATAGTTTAATATTGTGCGAAAATGTGTGTCATCCGCTTCTGGATCGAGTCTACTGAACGATTGTTTCCTTTTATAAAATATTTCTCGCTGCAAAGGAAGCACTTCGACGCACGTTTTGTATTTCAAAAATTGATACTTTGTTATTTCTAACTTATTTACGTTATTCACTTTGCTTCATTTCAATAAATCGAATCTCTGTTTGGTAAAGCAAATATTGCAAAACTATTTCATTGAAGTTCAATATTGAAAAATTATTTCAGTGTATAATACATTATATAATTGTAGTTGTTATAGTGTCATCATTTAGTTAATTATTATGACTATTTTACGACAATGTAACTTACATAGTTATTAGTTAACTGATATTGTTTAATTAATTTAGTTTATAATATACAATCGACTAGCAAATAATTATTTAATTATGGGCATTCATAAAAAGATGCAAGAATCATAAGAGTATCTCATTATGACGAAATCAATAAGAAGTATAATAACCAATTACTTGATAATAATAACATTAGCAATAAATAATAAATGTAAATGTTAAAGAATAACAACATGAAATAATAACAAATTATAATAATAAGTAATAAATGCAAATATTAATTTTCTACATGATTATCTCTTTATTAAAATGAAAAATATTCAGTCATGTAGGAATTAGTCTAATTTTGATAAAAAAAAAAAAAAGCTTTAGAGTTTTAGGGTGAAACTAGACGTGAAATTCTTTTTCAGACGCACAAAGAGGTCGGAATGAGGATAATTGCTTACTGGTGCGTACGCGATTCAGAATCTGGGCTCTTATGGCGTGCCCACGAGGTTTACATGCTGGTCTTAGTGCTGGTGTTGCCCTTGACCGTGATGGCGTATTGTTATACCGCCATTTGCTGGGAGATTTGGCGAGTTATGAAACGTCGATATCACATGACATCTCGGCGAACGTAAGTTTCCCATTTTCATCCTCTTCCCATGCAAGGAAATTTCTCAGTAGAAAATCAGAAGTCAATCCCTGCGTAAATGCAAATTTCCAGCATTCTAAAAGAAACAGAACAAAAATATGCATTTGAAGGTTGAAAATAGAAATCTGGAAATTTCTAATAAACTTTGTATTATTTCATAAGTATTGTAAAAACACGGACTGCATGAAATTTTATGATAATATGCCAACCTAAATTTCTAAATTTCAATATTTAGACTGCAGATTTGTAGACATGCATTTTTATAATTGTATAATAATAACATGCTCCATTTATTAAATATTGTAATAAGTACTCCACTTTGGATATTTAATGTATTATTTAATAATATTTTTATTATTTAAATATATTTAGTGTATTATTATTTAATGTTATTATTAATTCATTGATTAGTATCGATATACATACGACATGTAACAAACAACGAATGCATTCATCTGTAAACAAACAATATGTACCTTTAGGTATATATGCTGTAACTCGATCATTTTATTTTTATTATTTATTATTTACTCATTTATCGTTTATTTATTACATTATTATCACTTATGTACAATATACAAAGGATTAACTCTCTAGTCTCTGTTTCTGCATATTATGCAGGAAAAATTCATGGTATATTTGATAAAAAAAGTTTATTTGATAAAAAAAGAAAAAAGAAGAAGACAGAATGATCTGCTGAATTTTAATGGAAAAAAAGCTCCTCCGAATTCTCTGCGGACTGTAATTTTCGAGAATATCGCTTTGATGGATGTATTTCGGCGAATGATGGCGATCAGAATATCGGGTAATACTCGCTCACAATGAAACCCGTTGCCGATGGTGGCATTTATTACATTTCTCGCGATGCAGAGAATTGAAATCCAAATTGACTTCCGGCTACGTAATGCCAGCTTACAACAAGTTTATTCGAAGAGCAACTTTTAAAAATAACGAGACGCGAGTGATTTTTTTTCTGCAAAATCACTTTTCAGACTTTGAGATTGAAATCCAGATTTTCAGGTCTCAACTAGTATAATATTTGTTTTGAAATTTGTTTTAATTTTCGTCGTAGGTATTTATTCTCTCTTCGTTATATATTATACTCCGTTTTAACAAACATGTCCAGATTACCTTGCTTTCTGTTGTATTCCTCATCCATTATTAAAACTTTTATACTTAATTCACATTATCACGTTAAAGAATAAGAATTACATTAAAGCTTACGTTACAGCGCAGAACAGCTTAAGTTTTATTCATTGTATTTTATAATTCATCCAACGTAGGAACGTTATGTAATCGACAGAATCGTAAAGTAAGATGTATATTTATCCGTAGAGATCTGCATATTGAAACGTTTGCACAATTAACCGTGCATATCATTAATAAACAGAGTCTTTAATATCCTGTTTTCCCAGTTGAAAAGTAGAACGTATTAATTATCGATCACATGATAAAGTTCACATATATTCGTCATAGAAACTTGTTTATTATTAATCCTATTATAAACCTGAAAACTTAGTCTAAAGCACGAATAAAAATTATTAATTCTATTGTAAATCTGAAAGTTCTCTTCAAAGAGATGCAAGTATTAATACTATTACGATTCTACTACAATTAAAAGGTTAATTTTATTATAAGCCTGAAAATTCAAGTTCAGACAAAAATTGCACACGCGAGTGTGAATGAAAATTGCAATTTCATATAAAATTTATTGATCCTGCCTTTGTATGAATTATCGAATTTTCTCTATCTTATTTTCCCTTTGCAATATCTTTTAATACTTCTTATTATTTTTATTTAATACTTTTTAGTTTAACTTTGCATGTCTCTTCTCATATCTGTGAATTTCAAACGTTTAAGAGAAAATAAGGATTTAAGATTTATTTTATAGGCATTAGCTCGCATACATATTAGTTTTATAGATCTTGAAAAAGTAAATAAAATAGATAAATCAGAGGAAAAAATCATAATTACTTCTGCAACTATATAATTACATTTTGTAATGTACAATACTTTAGAAACAGTACAATTCTGAAAGTACTAAAAAATTATTTAAAATTCATGAAACGTCCAAAACCTTTTCTTTTCTGTTTTAAACATATGAAATTTAACAGACATACTATGTATTTATGTATGTATTTAGTATACAATTATTAATGATATCTAAGTGTTGAAATTGTTGTATTACGTGTTTCGTTTGACGTATCGATTTATCAGTTGGTCTAAAAGCAAACTGGTATACATGTCAGTTAGAGTTGTCAGATATTTTCTGGAAGGCAAACACACTTTGCAAAGTAGTGTATCTACTTTTTAAATTGAAGTTACTTCTTAGAAAATATATAACCTCGTTTTATGATCAATGCCCGTTCTACAATTTTGTTGTAACTTTGTTTCTTTTGTTATTTTGTTAGTAATGATGAATCGTTTCTAAGTATTTCTAAGTGGTGAGAGTGACTTTGAATTTTTCTACTTTTTCATCTTTTGGATGTACTGTAATTGAAATATTATCTTCTCTCTTACAGTCAGTATAATTACAGTTATATAGATATCGTTGATTATCATAATGATTAATTGCATCTATTATAACAATTCATTTCATTCTGTTATGATAGTGTGTTTATTATATAAAATTTTATTTATTATGTACAAATTAACAAAGTCACGTATATTTCAATAAAAATTAATGCAATTTGCATTTTCTCATCGTCTTACTAGAACTGATGGATATAAGATAGTTTTTTTCTTGAAATTTGAATTTAACTGTTCAGTGAAATCATAAGAGTCACAGATGATTATAGTGAATTTATATTATATCATAATTTAAAATATATGATTTTATTTTATACTTTATACTGTCTCTGATAGAATAAAATGAAATCAATAATGTCAAAATTAAGTGATGTAAAAACTTAATTTATTATGATTTCCTATGTTCAATGATTTAATTATCACTTAGTGTTAATTATCGATCATATTAAAGAAGAAATTTGCTACAAATCATATATATATATATGTAGTATTTGTATAATACAAAATCTTACTGTATTATATGTGTCGAGTCATCAAATTACAATCATCATTACTTACTCTTCCCAAAATCTCTGAAAAAAATAAATAATTTTCATCATAATGTAATAAAAATTCCGATTTTTTAAAGCGAAAATTTCGAAGTTGAACGTAATAAAACAGTTTAATTACCACTGGAAAGTTCCAAATTTCGTTAAAAATTTCAAAAAAAAAAAAAAAGAAAAAGGAGCGAGATAAAACGATCCAGAGGGTGTTGAAGTACATTTTTAGTTTAGTTGAAATAGCTTTACGACTAAATCCAATAAATTGACCAACCGCGACTGAGGTTGGAAATAGTTTTCGCGGCAATGTTTTTTTTTTTTCAGAAAGTTTTCGCTGTGTGAAATAATCTCAGTGTTTCGTTGCAGGAGATTGCCAGCATTTCACCTATCAAAAAGTTTAATTGTTAGTGGAATCTGCCGAGCATAATCCGTGTTGCGGATTATCTTATCGATTGAAACGTTTGTTCGCCTTTTATTCATTAAAAACCACGTGGAAGCAAGATCTCCTATACATTAAAATATATAATTTTCTCTCTGTTGGAGAATTTTCCATTTCATTGCACAAGTTTCATTATATATTTTCTTTTCGAGAAATTTATCTTCTCTAAATCTTTTTTTCTTTGTAAATTCATTCCATTCCTTTCCACGTACTGAAATTTAATGTTTTAATCCTTCAGTTTCCAGAACTTCTAAATGAGTTCATATTGTACTGTATTCTGAGAAATTTCGTTAATTGTTAATCCTTTGATACACAAAACGGCGGATTTTAAAAGTTTTATTAAATTGCAGCATAGAATCATTTTTTTCTTTATTTCTATTGGGAAAAATTTATAATTTGTAATTTATATTAATATTTATATTAATTGTATTTGTATTAATTTATCTCATTAGTCATAACGTATTACAATTATTATTTTGTTATTTTAATGAAGAGCAATCAAGTCTGAATATTAAATTGGTATATGTGAAATATTGTTTTATTAAAGTTTGAGTAGCGCCATCAAGTCCTTTCTTATCGTTATTACAATTATTTGAAAGAAGGAGAAATTTATTATAAATTATAGATATTCAACGTTGGTAAAATTCATGATAGAAATACGAAATTTTGATCTATAATCAAAATATCCATTTTCTTGCATAAGAACGTAAATTTGAAAATTTCTTTCATTTAATTTTCATGTTCAGATAAGTAGAATTCAATCAGTTAGCTTTCATATTGTAATTTCGTATAGATAATAAATGGAACCTGTATTACCACTTGCCATTTATTATACTTTGTGACTTAATGTTGTAAAAAGAAAATGCATCAGGAAATAGTGTTTCAGACAATATTGCATTCTTTCCACTTTCACATTGCAATGGCCTTACAATTCAATACAATTTATCAGTCTTTCAACTGTTAACCCTTGTTAACGTGTAATTTATATCCATCACGTTACAAAAATTTAATAAATTCTGAAATTGTAAAATTCTCTCACAGAACACAAATTTTTATGTTTGTCTCTGAATATCCAATGATGCCAATTGTTAAAATCAACAATATTGAATACTTTCACTTCGAAGTTCATCTGAACACGTATTGCTTCTCTAACACAAAAGTTATTTAAAACAAAAAAAAAATTAGAACACCGTGTATAACTAAAATTTCGTTCAAATCAATGGAATTCGTATTATTAATATTATTATTAATGTAACAACATTTATTATTTGTTATAAATTTAGAATCTTTAATTTCGCAGAAAAAGAAAATGTTTCGCAAAGTAATAATTTCTCCGAAACTTTCATACTGCATTTTTTTTGTTCAGTGATATAGTCTAGCAACTGTTGAAGCCAGCAATTTGACGCTTTCGTCATAATTCACTGCACAAGTATATTCTTTGCGAGTCCGTCTGTAACAATTACGTATTGCTTCTCTAGTGCGACAGTTATTGCATATACGACAGAGTATGCAATTCGCCGTGCGGTATCTCAGCGTCTAGCTAGAGGAGTTATGTGTATACGTGTCGGTTTATCGGTCTCGTAATTCCACGTTAGAATCACGCCTGAGATCTGTGGCAATTTTGAGATCCCGGTACGGTCTTAGAGACACGCACGACATTACGATTCGTGCTAAATAATGGAACGATTAAATGCACGTTTCCATTGATGATGAGACAATTAAATGCACACTTTCTTTTTTTATCTGGAATTATTATCTAAAATTAGATAACAAATATTAAATATCAGATTAATTAATTAATATTGTTCGAAATTGAATATTAAATTACCATTATAATTTTAGAAATTTAAATATAAGACACGAGTTATTCTAGCAATAAGTGATATATTACGTGTATTTCTTAATGAATAATTTTTATTTGTAGTTTTTTAGTAGTTTCATTGTTATTTTTCATTTTACTCTGAACAATGTTGAGAATGTTCCATTTTGCCATAAACGATCCATAGTAAATATAATATTCTATAATTAAACACATAAATAACAATTTTAAATAAACGTTTTAGTAAACCTTTTAGGCAACCTTTCCGTAAAAGAGATTTTTTAGGAACGTTGTTTCTGTTGAAAAAATTTCTTTATAACAGAGAATAGTTTGTAGTACCAAAAAAAAAAAAAAAATATTTATACTTTTATTCCAGCACACTCAATTCTTTCTTTTTTTTTCTTTCTTGCAGGCTGAATCCGACCAACATCGACACGGAATCCATACCAATGACCCAGAGACAAAACGTACGAAATAATCGTCGCGTTCAGAAGCAGGATGATCAGACTGAAGAAGAATCTCGGACGATCAGACAGGTTTGTATAATCTATAACTGAGTGTCGAATTTGTAGAAACGTTTTCAAGTAGCCATCTCTCCTTCCAGGGAAAGTTTGTATTTGACTGAGAAATTTGGTTTAATTTATTTACTATTATTCTAAAGAATGTATTCGTTGAATGTCGATTTTTTAATTTTTTAATTTATTATATTCTATATAATTTGTTATATTCTTTGACTTGTAATATGTGATAATATAGTCTAATATAATATAATAACGATATTTGTTGCTATTCATTATTTGCTATTAGTTATTATTAGAACTAATTATTCGTTATTATTAGTTGTTTATTAGTTGTTAATATAGCTTTTTAGCTTTAAATTAATATATTGCATCTTATAAGTTTTTCTGACAGATGTGTTTGAAATAATGGAAATTATTACTGTACAAGTTTTACAAGATTGGAATAGAAAAGAAAGATAAAGAATCATAAAATATCAAGATATTAATAGTATGGGATACTAATATTCAATTATTAATAGTCAGTAACTATTTCCAGCAAGTAACTATGTACTCATTTTGATCTAGTATATAAAACTTAACGACTTATAGAACAGAATGAAGGGATGGTACAGAACTTATAAAATAAAATGATCTAACATTTATGTACAATGTCTATCTTTTTGTATCTCTGTCTATGTATCTATTTTATTATACTACATTTGTCATCTTTTTCCTATTTTGTTTTTTCCAATATTAACTATTAACTATCTTCTTCGTTTTAACACAGTCTTTTTCATTTTCGGTCTTCTTTCTGTTCTACTTCTTTTTTTCTCTATCTCTATTCTTCTAAATTTTATTCTATATTTATTCTATATTTTTATTCTATATTTATTTCTATACTTCTCAGTGTCTTCTGTTGATTTTCTACTCTTTGTTAAATCTGCTTCCTTTTGAAACACAAATCAGAGTTTTCTTCTGTTAAAGTTTCTCTGTGTTTTTAAACTAAAATATCCTTTGAAAATTTAAAGAAACTCGTATCTATGATTTCGAAGATTTCACAGTGGTCAGATCATTTTCTTAAAATCACAGTTTTAAAACGAGGGATATATTAAAATAACAGCTCTTCCAAATAAAGGAAAATTTTTTAATTTTAATTCCTGTTTCTAGGGTTCGAAAATAGAACATTTCACGTATGATATGCGCAAACAAAAAAATTGACTCTATTTCTTTCATGCCTCCAGGCTTTTTTGTACGATACGATCTAACCGCGAGTTCTTCCCTGTCAGGATTTTTCATTCTGATAAACTGTTTCGATATAACATTTTCGGAATTTCAAAAAAAGAAAAAAGGAAACTAAAAAGAACTATCTGTTGAAACTATCAGCGTGATACGATTTTTCAAGAGAATAGAATTTTTTTTTTTTT